TCTTGTGGAATGCAGAGAGTTATTCCATGAATCGATCGTTGTTTTCTACTGAAACCCCGTCATATGTGTCAAGCAAATAACATTAGACTTTAAAGTATGCTAATCTGTTACTTATGGAAATCAAAAAGGTGTGAAATGAAGAAATTATGGTGAGATTTTATTCACTTAGGATATCGAATTATTCGATTTGTCGTACGAAAGAAACACTTGAATGAGTGAGATATGCTGCTAGCAACTATTGACCCATACCTCTTGTTTACTTAAATGATTCACTGATGTTATTCAGGCTAATAGGTCAGTGTAAGGATGTGTATCTTATTGTAAGTCAGTAACTGAAGACGCACAGTAGAACTGCAGATATCTTTACGTCTCAGAAGTCAAGATCTCTAATCTTCTGCCTAGAACTAGAATAAGAACTTCGAATTCCTGTATCCGACTTACTTCAAGGGTAAAGTGTCAACTGGCATTTACTTGGTTGTATTCCGGGAAGTGAGCTGCTTTTCATTTAGATTTTCTAAAGTTCTGTAGAAGAAGTTGTGATCATATAAATATTATGACTCTAAATCAACACCTTCATTATGTTATTGTCCAGTTATTAACACTGCATCACTATGTTATGTGAAATTTTACTCAAACATTAATTTGATGACCTGGTCGATTGGAATTCATTCAACTACTTTGTCTTTCTGCAAAACTTTTTTACTCATAAATGAAATAATATAACCTACATGTGTGCATATGTAATTTCGTTAAATATTCAACTTTGAAACACTGTTAAAGACTAAAGTAGTGTTCATTTCACTGCCTCATAAATAAAGTAAAACAAAAGTATTGTAAGCTTTATGTTTAAAAGAAAATTAATGCTTTAAAGTATCGCTGTACAACACAGCACGTATATATTACACAAAATGGATACATTCTTATTTGTTTGTTTTCACTGGAAACTTTAAAATTCCACACATGTTGTTGTACTCATTATCAATTTTTTGTTACATTCATGTCGTGGAAAAAATCTCATTTTACTTAACTTTGTAAGTGAATTTCTCATTTCACTCTGATTATGGAACATGACTGACATATTAAACCATCCTCCATATATTATAGAAATGCAAAAAGTGAAAAGTCTATCATACACCATTGAAAGCTCTAGACGAGTTCTAGTAAACAGATAAATAAAACCAGAGAGAGGTATATGGTTCAATATTTTTCTTCAGCTCAAGTTTTCCATTTGTGATAGCTGCGACACATGACAAATGTAACAATTTTAATCAGTTTTTGTATTTTGACCTAGTGGATGTAGACATGCTTTTCATTAATTAATTTCTGAGTTTGAATTCACAACTCTGTAAATCTCACGCAAACAAATTTGGAAAAGTAAAAAAAGTGCTGTTTCGAATAATTGAAAAACAAAATTCAATGAACATTATTATGACTCTGGCAACGTAGTAAATGAATAACAGTGATGAATATAAGTATTCGAAAGGGGGGTGGTGGGGAACTAAATGACACAGCGTTGTTTAATTCCAAGTGGAACTGCCACTATGATATCGTGAAGCTATATCATTTCACGACGTTAATTAACTGAGGGAGTGAGTGTTAACAAGTATGACGAGAATATTCCTGGAAATCGCCTTGTACTGAAACAGTTATACTGTTCATAACTTGAATTATTCAAAATGACAATTCATTTGTTTAATGAATCTTCGTTTCTAGTGCCTTTTTCAAGGGTTTTCGTTGCAAAATTTAAACTGATGCAGGGATTTGGCTGATTAGAGATTTGATCAGGAGCTGATATCAGTGAGAGAACTGGCGGAAAATCTGGGAATACTGGATAACCGTTTCGTTCTAGTTTGGGACTCTTCATCAGTACTCTCTCACCATTGTTTAAAGCGAGAATCGGATCCCGGAGGCTGAATGATATACCAGCTCGCCTTGTTACCAAGAGGTTCTGAGTTTGGTCACCGGTGACTGAGTACTTCTCAGGAGTTCCAAAGTAAAACAAAGCAGCAGTCCAGTGCTTCCTGGATAGCTTTTAGGTAATTGGTGTTAGTGGCAAATGATAAACCTCTCCATTTCGAGATATAACTAATACGTGATTATTCAAAATTAGTTACTAGGATCTAAAATTGATTTTTCTGCGATGTTTATGAACAAAACTATCTTCCTTTATCCAAATCATATAGTTTAGCAGCATAGGTGAGTATCAGACGTTATAGATTCAAGGAATTGCAGTAATCATTTCATTAATCTATCGTGTGCCTTGATGCTATCATTTACTTTATTGAAGTGAACATGAAGCAGTGGGTTAATGTAAGTGCAGAGCTTAAGTACAATGTTATAATACAATTTCATATTACTGTGTGTTACATCAAATAAACTTGTCTAGTATAGGATGAAGCAATGGGGTCTATTGCGAAACACAATAACAGAGAAATGTATCTTAAATCTAAGCCATCTGTGATAGTCTTACAAATTGTAATTCCATTGAATGAAAATTAGTACGCGAAAATTTATGAGTCAGCTAAGTGGCGATCAGGTCCCCTCTCCACAAGCACACGCATACACACACATAACAGTCAGCATAATGTTGATTAGAGACTCCACCACCAATGATATCTCTTCAGTTAGTTGACAAACATCAGGGTAATAATTCAGTGGTCACCGACTTGAAATCTATCGCATCCTAGGATATTTACTCTGAATTCTATCATCACTACATCTTTAATTAAACAATGCAAAACAAAAAGCGAGTTGGATGGATGCAATAAAATCATCAAAATCTAGACAGGGTTTGAGAAAGTTCACTATTTATAGAAAAAATGACCTCTAGTTGTGAATATAGACAAATAAAGGTCATTGGCTATCTCGTAGTGAAAACTACCGTACTATTATTTTCAAGGGGAATTCATGTTCTTATGGTGTGGTAGGTAAGACTTTCAATTAATGAAAGCTAATTTTTTTCAAGTTGGTCATGTAGGTATATGAGATCAGAGCAGTAAGAGAATATAACACATTAGATGGTGAAGAGAGGGAAACAGAGAGGGACAGAGAGGAAGAGTATCGATTCCAGGTGAGATCAGATAGTTCACGTCAGTAAAAACAGACATCATTTCATACGACACATGATAAATACATTTGTTGAAATTGTAAACAAAAAATGCACACAAATATTTACTGCGGCTTTTTGTTCGTGTGAAAAGTTGTAAAAACTATGACATGACAATGATCCCACTTTCTTTTATTAGTTTTTTTTTCACTACCAATAGAATAATACTTTTAGTGAGACTGGTTTCTTATCGCATAAATCGTTCATTCAAATCGGATACATCAAGGTCAGAGTTAAACCATGATTTCGACAGAAAGTTCGCATTCTAGAGTCAAGGCGGACTGTCTCACATAAAATCACATACGACTCATTCATTCAGATGACTAGTTGTATGCCACTCACATCAACTAGTAGTATTTGCCAGCCAGATTAAACCCGGTACACCATTGCTGAGTACAACCCCAAACGACCAAAACGGCCGCCTGGTGTTTGCATCACTTCGATCGCGCTATCTAACACTACTGGCTGATGTGAGTGATATCCAAATATTCATCTCAATCAATCAATAGTTCATGGAGTAATCCATTTATGCTTGCTTTCTTGATTACCCTTTATGGAGTCAAGCATATCACATGTAGTGATCTGAATAATCTCGGTTTCCAAAGCAGAATGTGGTGGAATAATCACTTCTAACTGTGTAAATAGTGAATTAATTATGCAAAATTGTGAACTAATTTGCAAACTGTGAATTTGTCTGTCTCACGTTCAATGAATCATTTCGGTAATGACTTGAACTGAAGTTCATAGTCATTTGGCATGTTTTTAAGGAAGATGTGGGCAGTCATAAGTGTAAATTAAGCGCAACCTTGTGTCAGTACTGAAGGTCATTATTGTTGTGACTAATAAACTACAGGGCACCGTTTGATTGTTGCATGAGTCGCACATTAATGACATCATGCTGATAATTTATTTGAATGACTTGGTTAGTGTGTAAAAATTTCAATACATAAGAATGTGTTGAACCAGTGGAAGTTCAAACGGAACTGCACTTATCTGAGAAGACAAACTTATCTCCTACCTTACCATATAACTGTAATCATCATGAGAAAACGGAATCGCGATCCGTGAGGACTAAACCCCCAAATAATACACTGAAATAATTGAAGCTAACTATCACTTTTGTAACGATTCTACTAAAAGTTTTATGATCATGCAACTAGTAAGAGATTCCCTGATGATATACGAATTCAAATTCAATCTCCTATGAAGTTGAAAACAGTTTTTTGGAGGGTAATATTGTAATGAAACAGTATTTATACAAAAAGGGTGGTAGAGAGCTTGATATTCTTCCTAATCATGTATAATACTCAATCCGTTAACGAGAGAAGTAGGAAGTGTTAGTGAAGTACTTATATTGATAGCTTTTGGACTATGCAGGAAATGACTTCACCACACTTCTCGATTCTATGAGATGAAGCTTCCAAAGAGTAATTAACGCATAATCTATAGGAACAAATAATGTCCTAAACATTGTACAGAAATGGAAATCTATACAAAAGTTAATTTTGACAGAAAATACAATACTTCTTAATGAGTATACGTGATTTAACTAAGGAATAGAGATGCAAAATCAAAGAGTATCAGTATCACTGTGATGATAAACCGTTTTAGGTAATCCTATACATCACACCATACTGTATGGAATAAAGTCTCAGTGGATCAGTGATAGAACGCTCATCAACAGCATGAAAGGCGCAGGTTTGATTTCCTGGCAAAAGCACTCCTTAAACTCACCTAGTTTGCTAGCCTTCACTGAACCTAGTAGAAACGGGAGGTTGGGCGTGAAGCTGGAAATCCTATCACGTCAAAAAACCAGCACCACTGCCATTGAAAACTCAGTTTCACTTGGAACTCAAAGAATGAAAAAAAATATATTCACGATGAAACTACTTACAGCACAATGTGTAAAACATTCAGCCGGTGGTAGATCACAAGCTATGAAGCACTAAAATATAAACAAAAAGAAACAGAAGATAATTACTATATATATCAACCATGTAATTATCTATTGAAAGATGAATGATGGTTATCATTAACAGTTAGGTTATAAACACCAATTAACTTCTTTCAGATTGTAGGTTTCAAAGACCAAATGATGATTTGAAAATAGCTTATCGAGTGTTAGTTTGCAGGGATTTGATTGTTAACAGTTTTGATCAGGAGTTGACATCGGTTAGAGAATCACTGGAAAACCTGGGAATACTGGACAGCTGCTTCGCCCTATTTGTGACTCAGCAATGGTACGTACGCACCACGTTCGAATCCGGGACCTTCCTGTTACAAGTTAGGCTCGTATACCATTCATCCACTGGAACCTGACCCAATGGCGCATGAATTCTAATTTCCACCAATTCGTGATCACGACTCTTGGTCACAACTTCTCACTAGGAATCCGGACAATTTCGTCTTGCAGCTAGTCCCTAGCGAGCATCAAATTAATTTTCAAGTGTTAGGATTTGATTTCTTTCAAGTTGGATTATGGACTGTTACTTGTTACACGACCAGTGAAAACCAGTGACAGTTGTTCCGTCCTAGTTTGGGAATCATCTTGGTCTGTCTGAAATATATATGAAATCACTTTCATACTATGTAAATTTGGTGTTTACGACAAAACAAGTGTCGTGTAGTAATTTATGTTGTAAATTTTTTCTGGGACGTTGCGAGCCTGGGTTAGCGAAAAAATTCAAACATTTGGATTAAGAAAGATTTGAAGTCAACTGTTCATGACAGATGTCATTAATAAGCTAAAAGCTTGGAAGATAAAAGCAATAAACTTCGGAAAATCAAGTAGTTTAAGTGCCTGAGCAGAACTAAACATGCTGCAAATACCCTGTTGTGGATTAAATCATTCCGCATATATCACTGATGGCCTTCTACCTGAACGAGAGTAACAACTGTCTGAAGAGAGAATCAGTGACTTCCAATTCTCACCAGTATTCAGTAGCATAAATAGTTGCATAGAAGTGCCTGCTTTTTTAAAAAGCACTTCTGTTAAGACAGCATATTTTCAACCATCAGTACTACAAACAAAATTGAAATCAGAACATTACTATCAGCATTCCACTAGATGGTAATTCGAAAGGCTTAAAACCTTTGTGAAGTGGTACTGAAATGCATAATGAATAACTTTCAAAAGAAAAGAGAAAGAATCATTATTGAAAAGCTTCAGCTAGACCTAGTTATAATCAACATCACGTAATTTCGCCTGCTTAACTTATTATTTTCTTCATACACTTTTTTAGCGAAATTACAACACGCCTGTTGTGTGAAAGTTGGTGATATTACCTGCCTGAGCAAACTTCAGTAGATGGAACCGGTTTCGAACCCGCGAGGCAGTGTTTGGAAATCAGACGGGTAGACCAAGGATCAATAGCTCTACATTTACAGAACAACTCAAGACATAAAGAAAAAGAGTTTTTCAAGTATCGGTTTCGTAGGGATTGTGTTTGGTTGGTTAGGGGTTTTCATCATGAGCTGACATCACTTAGAGTTTTGTTTACATCAGCAAAAGATATGTGATTAATATAGCTATGATAACTACAATGATGACCTTGTTTTCCACACACCTGCATAAAAACATTATGATCCACAGTATTTTTCTGGTGTATTAACCAAAGTACAGTTATATGGGCTAGTGTGCATATAAATTTCATATGTCTGTGTGTTCATTTGCTGCCAACCATATGTGTACTAAATATGGTTTACCACCCAAATTCTACCAGTCTAACGTATTAAACGTAGAACAGATTTTTCAGAGTGAAAATTTTCGAATCATTTTGATCCTAGAACACACATACAACTAGACGAAGAAAGATCAAAGATAAAGAAACTTTTTTTGAAATTCTTGCTACATTTTGATAAGAAGCAGTAATATCAGGTAAACAAGTGTAAGAAGGATAAGTATCTCCTTACATTACGAATAGCATTTTAGCAAAAACTGAGCAGTTGATGGACAAATACCTTTAGTCCTAGGAGAGTGACGTTTGTTGCCTATTATCAAAGCGAATACACATATGACAGATACTTATTAAATAATGTTAACATGTGGAATTTATTATTTTGAAAATTCCACATGATAGTAATTTCTTTCCAGTCGTTTTCTGGTTCTACTTCAGTTATTCTACTAGTTTGAGAATCATTGGTAGACCACACCCACCACTTGGGTTCAAATCCGGGACCTTCCGGTTACAAGGCAAGCTCGTATACGATTCAGCCACTGAGACCCGATTCAATGACCCGTGAATTCTAACTTCTACCAATTCGTGATTTTAGCGCGACTACTAGCCAGTGTCATCGGTCAGAAATCCATCCTCAATCAGACCCCAGTGGCTGAATGGTATACGAGCTTACCTTGTAACTGGAAAGTCCAGAATTCGAACCCCGGCGGTAGGTGTGGATTACTGATGATTCTCAAACTAGGATGAAACAGTCGTCCAGTACTCCCTGGTTTTCAAGTGTTCCCTAACTGATATCAATACTTGGTCAAACTCTAAATACAAATCAAATCCTTATAAGTCAACTCTTGAAAACTCTACTAGTATTTACCAGAGAATAGTATATCGGTCACTCAACTGTAAAAGGCTCATCAATCCTGCACATGGTCCGAATTCGACTCCCGGACAACTCACTCCGAAACCTTCTCTGTATTGCTGACTGGTGGTGAGCACCCCAAGTACATCACTGCGTTGAAACTAAAACCACCGCCACTGAAACTTAAGGCTTGACGACCTATGTCCATAAAGAATGCAAAGAATTTATAAAAATTTTGCTGCATGATGTTTCCAGCATAATTTACTGCTCATAATAACTAATTTCCACATGTTTTTGCACTATTCAGTGAAATTCTCATGAGACTCGTAACCATCAGAGCAATAAGGATTTTTTTAGTATTCTAACATATTAGAGGTAGCAAAAGTTTCATTTGGAATGTTGAAAACACACCATGCCCATGAATTTCGCAATTATAATCTGAGGTTCTGAAAAGAAAATTCAATAGAAAGTTTCACAGCCAACTGAAACGATTCCTAGCACGTCTATGGGTGTCTAATGACTAATTAAACATGACTGAGAGTTTAAAATGTTTCAGCTTAACCATTCATATAATTGTGACCTCACATAAAGAAGCTGTTTGCTGCATATCTGCCTCATTCTACACTGATTGGGTGATTCATTGCAGAAGAACCACATGTTTTTGAGAAAACGCGCATGTGTCAGGGCTAAGTAATAATGTAGGAAGGGATAAATACATTTTGAAGATTTCTGGATCAAGAATTGCTGATATTTTCTCTACAGTATCAATATTTTTGTTTCCAACATTCAAAACGGTCTGCATACTAAAACAGCCAGTGAAATAGGTAGTCATGGCCAGTGGCACGAACAGGAATCTATGATTTAGTCCTACCGATGTATATGCCTTCAAAAGAGGACTGACCGCCTCCTTGATCTCAGAAGATAAGGAATGCATAGTTCCAAACTCCACTGTCTTATTTATATAGCTAATGAGTCACTAGCCAGCTCTTGTTCCCTGGATGAAAGTTCCTTACTATAAGAAACGGTTGTATTGCCAGTCTCTGTATGACTATCTCACCACAGACGATATCGATATATCTTAAGCAGTAGCGTATGATACAAATAATAGCTAATCATAACAGTTGCGTAAATCAATAGTGAGGTGTTAGAAAAATCTATCAGTATTAAACACAATGGGTGTTTTTATAATTCGCTAGTAAGATAAAAAGTCTGATAAATAGCTTTATAATCTCATTAATAGGAATATCATCCTGCGATTTCCAGTTTCTAGACAATCTCTCATGTTATTCTCAAAATTTCTTTCACGGTATTGCTACAGCAACAATATTGTTTACACATAAAATGTCACACTCTCTAGGATACTAATTTTTATACCTTCCGCAGTAAATACCCTTCCCGTTTCCTTTCTCTGTATTTTTTTAAAAATTACCTACAGTTTGCGATGCCATAAGAAAGTAATTTTTCTCTATCATTCCAAGAAATGCTCATGACTTTTGTCAAATTTTTTTTCAATAATCAGATAGATGGAGAAAATACTTGGTCTTACTCATACCACTTGGTTTTTATTTGAAAAACTAAAAATCGATTGTGGAGAGGTTTTTATGAACTACCTTCCCAGTAAATAAGAAAAATTAATGAATCAGCAGGAAAAACTTCGATAACTTTTTTGCCCTAACCACGAAATCAGAGGAAGTAATAAAGTGTCAACCTGTTTAAAATGGTCACCAAAAAATGTGTTGGCAAGATTAACACTTCAGTTCAGGTATAATCTGCAAGAATGACATTGAGCTTATACCAATAGCTTTTTTCCCCAGAATAATTCATTAATTTGGTTGATGCTGAAGGGGACAAAATTTTTCTAAATAAACTTATGAATCATTAGTTTAACTATCTACCACTTATGTTACAGAAATCGTATTATGGTAACTACAAGCCTATGGTACGTACTCCTATTTTTAAATCACCACATTTCTCTACGACTGAAACACTGGACTTTAGGTTTTCAGCTTTGAAGTTTAAAAGCTAGAGATGTTTCTATGGGGTAAGATTGCTAGTCTCACACTCAACCTTCTCTGTTTTAAGAACTTACTATCTTCTGGACGAAGTTCAGTGAGTCGGCAATCGAACCTGGGCTTCATAAATGGTTGGTAGGCATCCTACCAATGAACCAGAGACACACGTATTCCTATGGCTTAGTATATACCATGTTCGCTCTACACAATATCTTGAGGAATGTAAATTGTACATTTTAATGACTTAATTTTCACTCAAATAGAAGGACTAGTATTTTTATAAGTGAATAGAAAATATAAATAATTACGTACACTGTCAAATGTCATTGACAATTAAATTTGTTTCGAGTAAATTGGAGTGAGTGTAGTCTGCATAACAGTAACATCTGTATCTAGTCCACGTCTACTGGAATTTTAATGAAGCGGATTTTCCAACTGGTTAATTTAGACCATTAAGGAGCTTAAGAAAATTAATCCGTATTATATACTAAAGTGATAAAAGAGAGATTAGAGGTTCAACTGGAAAGAAATCCTATTAATAACACTTGATGAAAGTCATATTATCTAGTAAATGGTCTTTAAAATTATCATCACTTACACTTGAACTACACCGTTCACGTGATTCTTCAAAACACACTGACCAATTCAAATCGTTGAATTTTTCACTCCCCCATTTGTTCTGAATTAAAATTTAAAAAAAACATTTAAAAATTAATAACATCAGGCAAAATTTTAGCGATATATATATATATATATATATATATATATAAGTTCTACTCCTTGATTTCCAATGGCTCTCTAATAATTATTAGTTCGTGATCGGACTTAGAAGTAATCAAATCCCAGAAAACAAGTGACTGAATACACCATGAATTTCTAAAAGGGTTGTGTTTAACTATCGGAAGGCGAATAAACTTCATTCAACTTCTGTGAAATAGCCTGATGAATGCTTGTACTACGCGAAATTGGTATTTGCTTTGAAATAAATGTATTGTAACTAGCCATAGTGAAAGTAATACAATTTAGTTTTTCGCATGTATTTTATACTTGCTTAACTCTATGATGCTGTTCAGTTTTCAAGGGCTTATTTTGATGACAGTTAGTTACTGATTCCAAAAAAATACATTTCATCCGAATTTTTTTGTGTGAATATCATTACTTCAAGGGATCTCAGTATGTCTAGCTTATAATTTTAAAGATGAAACTAGCTCCGGGTACCGTAGCCAGTTACCATTGAGATAAATTACTCTGAATCAAAAGACATTACCTAGAGTATCCAGTGTAGTTTCTGTAAAGCCATAAACTGATTTTTAAAATTCATGGAATTTAATAAACTGTGGTGAGTTGCTGGTTTAATGACAGGATGCTTGCTAACCGCACACGTCGTTTGATTCCGATTCTCCACCGACACAGTCTAACCCCCACCCCTGATTCACTAGATTACAGGAAGTCTCAGTAAGCCAGGGAAAGAGGGAATCTTGGATATGAGGCTGACAACCCTAGTCCATAAGATAAACAACACTAGGCCTACTGAAACTTCAAAAGTCTTGAAGCCGTATGTCCCGCTTGGAAAGCAGGCAGTGAAGAAGAAAATTAGCTCTAAATTTACAAAAAAGGTGTACAAGTACCATGAAGTCGAAAGAAAAAATTGAGGAAAAACAAAAACTAAATAGAAGCAGTTGAATTTAATATTTGTTTGCTAATTAAGTATGGCATTACAGTGGAACAGTAATATTTAATGAATATACCGACAAACTAAGTAGCAGATCGCAGTAATAAATCTTAATTATAATTAGGCTATTTTTGAAATTTCAACGTCAGCTACCATAAGGGTTTATTTAAACATTCATCAAGTCCCTGGCACCATTTCTTGTAAGTGACCACCCGTAGAGATGGGTTTTACAATTTTTTCAGTTGACTGATTATTTTTATGTAATTCAGGGGAACAAAGAAACGTTTCAGTTGATGAATTAGTTTCATTTCTAAAAAACAGAGAGAGAGATGTTGCATTATATCATACTTTCAGTGTACTTCCCGAAAATCTCCAATTTTCACTAGTAATCACATAATTTGCATGAACAAATTCGCTTCATTATTGAAATGAAAGGAAATAGAGCCTTTTTGTCACAAATTGATAGTATTTCTTATAAAATAAACTTTTGGAATGAAAAAGTCATGAAAAGTTTTTTCATCTTAGTGTGATGTTCTTCACCGCCGAGAGAAGAGTATATTTATCAGGTGTTACGGGATTCATTAGATTCGAAGTCATCAGCTAGAGATTTGCAGCATTTTCTGGTTTATAATATAATATAATAAATGAAAAACTGTGGAAAAATAATCTTGGTGTTATTCCTCAAAGAGAAATATACTGTCTTCTAGCTTTTAGTCTTTAGAATAAGATCATTTTGTCAAAAATGCAAAATAGCACACGTTTCAAGATAGCCAACCAGTCAATCATAGTCAATAACATTACGCATAGTCGTGAAGTCGGCAGTAAGCATGAACTAGTAACGCGATTCATCATCAACCTAGATGACTTATGACGATAAAAACTGGAAATGTTTATAGTCTTGGATGCATGATACACTTACACATGTGAACGACAGGAAACTTCTGACACAACTCCTAGAAATTTCTTAAAATAAAAGAAGATACAGTATCCGCTTCCTAAATTAATTGCTTTGAAATATACTCATTTTTTAACTCATGGAAAATTCCCATTGTAACATTTAGAAAATCAAAACAAGTGATTCAGCTCATTTTTCCCAAACAGACATCAATAATGAGTAACTTTTTTATCATTTGTATATCTGTAATACTGCTACATACATAACATTTTCCGCAAAAAGACTAAATCTACTATGGATTATAGCCGAAAATGTGTATTGTGTAATGAGGTAACTTGAACTTTTACCCTTTTTTACTAACATGTACATGTTTTAAAAAAATGCGGATATTCATTGTTGCACTGAAATTCTTGAAGATAAACAATTCTTTTTTTATTATCACTTTAGAGGAGATCGAATTGTTTATGAAAGCTAAATTAGCTTCTATGCAAAATATTCCACGACGAAATCAGTCAAGAATAGGGTAAATGATTTCAGGTAACTTTCCTGTTCATCTTCAAAGCCTTACTAAATATATGTCGTTTATCAGTGTTCATACAATAAAAATTCCTGTGAAACCTCCATCTCTGCATCTAAGACTGTTCTCTGTAATATTTGTGTATGTGTTCATTTTAGAAATAGTCTCCTACTTCAAAGTGCTGCAGAATTAAAGCTCTCACTTTCACTCTTGTTCATTAGGAATCTGAATAGATTTTGGTAAAGCTTCCTGAAAAATCCCAAAAATTGCTTTCAGAGATTTCTATTCAACTAACCTTTGGCATCCTTGACGAAAATGACATAGGATACGGGAATGGTAGTAGTTTAATCTAGTAGAAAGCATCAAAGAAATTACTTTAACATCAGTCAATATTCGACAGACTTACCTGGCTGCTTTTAAACTCAGAAAAGAGAAAAGTGAAGCTAGCAACCTTGTGAAGAATAGCACAACTACTATTGAGATTTCAATGCTTGTGCTTGAAACCCTGTGTTCCACTCGAGAAGCAAAGGAAAAAAAACTATAGACTATACATCTAGACATTGTGTAGAAAGATTAAAAGCTAGGGGACAGTTGAGTGTGACAATAAGGTCTGTGATCAAATACAGTTATTCAGTAGAATAGAACCAGAGTGACAGTCTTATAAACTAAGAAGGACAAGGCTGATAAGGGAAGCATTGTTTATCAAATTAAGAATAAATAAATGCAACAGTTGCTCTAAAGTTAGTGGATATTTCCACTCTCCTTATTACCAATGTAGTTTAAATTTGTCGTTAATGCTATATTTTCACGGTTAGCAGTGAGTAGTACTCTACAAACTAAAGATGTATGTTCTATTTTGAAACTTTATGTACATATTCAAAAACGCTTGATAAGCATATTAATTTCAAAGTGGAAAAAGAAAAAAAGGCAGTTTATATCGAAATCCATGAATACTCACAGCATAATGACACAGAATACTTCTACTAAAATGGAAAACCAAATTAAAACAGCTCTTCTGATAGTTTTGTTTTCTATATTGGTGATAACACATAGTAACACAAGTTGTCATCGTTATTGCCCTACTCTTTTTTCTCTCTCTTTTTTCTCTGTGCGGAAGTAAAACAAAGGCATCCGCACAACTGTTTCCTTCTTTGTGAGTGACGTGTTTGGAGAGTGGATTAAATTAGTTTTCTGTCTTTCACATTTGTCTGTGTATACATATGTACATGTATTAATAGGTCGCGTGAAGTGTATGTATGTACATGCTAATAAGAAGGTTCATTGTCTGTCTAATCACAAAAATGTGTGGTGTCTTCAAGTACTTTACTTACATGACTCTATGGTTTTTTAAGAATCATTTTTGTGCTTTACATAATAACAAGTGGTAAATGTGACTGTGTATGTGAATGAGTATGCGTATACTAATTTGATGACTTCTCAATCTTTAGGTGGTCTCTTATACTGGAGTGAAATACAGTTTCTTTCTGGATCATGTGAAGAATATGTTGAGAAGATGTTTTGTACACTTCTATGTATGTGGAGAAAAAAATATATATATATCGATGACAAGAGATCCTCCTTTGATGAAGTGTACTTTTAGAAAACCTAAGAATGTCAGACAATCTTTTTGAGATGCATCATTTGAAATATTACAGTTTTCTGAATAAAACACTCCTTGTTATTCAGACAATTTGAAGATGAATACTATGATTTATGCATGAAATGGAAGTGATTTGTAAAAGTGTGAATCAAGATGATAATAATGTGTACTTTTTTCCTTTAGCAATAACAATAACACAATAACATATTCCATTTGGCATAGTTTCGAAAGAATTGAAGATCGTGTTTTTAACACTAATGATCAACAAATAATTCAGTAATTTTCAATTTCTTTAAAAATTCTCCAAACAGACTATTAAGTAAGGACAGAAAACATAAATGGTTGACATAATTGTCTACATCATAATTTTGGCAAACACAATTTTTTGAAATATCTGTAGAAAATTTATTTGTTGTTAACTAAAAACGGTAGTCTTTTCGCTTTTATTAGTGTAATGCAAATCTTATTACTTTTTCCGTGAGGAGACCTGTTAAGTGACGCCAGACACCAGGTCTTAGGTTGGAAACTGAATAGGAAACAACGAGTTTGACTGCTGAAGGTGACATTGGGGAGGATCGTATGAGGAGGAGGGATATGAAAGCTTATGGGGCGTTGTAGAGCCAGCTAAAGACAAGTGCATGGAACAGGATGAAACACTGATGTTCTGTTGAAGCCCAAGGGAATAAATAATAAAATGAATATTATTTTTTACTTATTTGAGTTCTGAGTAGAATATAGAATTCCCGGTTTTTGAAGTTTAAGTAGCTGTGATATTGCTCTGTGGTGTCGGGTTGTTTGCCTCACAACCAGCCTTTTCTCCTTTCCGGACGTCCTACTACTGGCTCGATGAGGTATAGGAGTAATTCAGTCGAGGATTTAACCTGGACCACATGCCTGGTTATCAAACATTTCACTGAACAGACTTTATATTACTGTCCACTTTAGGTTAAGTCAGGTTACACATAGTTTAGCTATTGTAAGGGCAGGCATCTGAA